TGTCTCTCCAGCCAGCCCTTGAGTGGCTATTTCCTCTTCTGCAAATAATCACTATCATGAGTTCTCACTAGGTCCCAGGCACAGGGCTAAGTGAGTTTTATGTGTGAACTCGTTTGCTCTTCCTACACTCTTAGGGTTTCCTCCTCTAGAAAATGGGCATACTAATGATACAGACCGCGTGGGGTTGCTGTGAGAATGCCGAGAACTGCTACTGAGATGGGTAATGAGTGCGGACTCAATAAATAGTGATTACTGCTGTTGTGTGAGTGTGGGTTGGTAAATGTACCAATGGATGGGGTTAGTCCAGTTATAAATGGCATTCCGTGCCTTGTACTGCACACAGCTGAACTGAAAGATTAGTCTCATTCCAGAGCATGGATGCACCTACAGGTGCAAGGCCAGAGGGCTCTTGATAAGGCTAGAAGTGATCTCAAACACAAAAGCCACAGTCCTACATGGCTCCAAAGCTATCCACCTTGCCTCAGGTAAGAACGCCTATCTAGTCAGAACCATGGCTCAAAGGAGGTGTTGAGCTGTAATATAACTATATTGCTTAGTGTATCTTCTTAATTAATGGAATTAGAAGGGGGAGTCATTAGCTAGATATCTGTAAAAATCTCTATTATTGCCAGGCGGTGGTGGCGCACGCCTTTAATCCCAGCACTCAGGAGGCAGAGGCAGGCGGATCTCTGTGAGTTCAAGGCCAGCCTGGTCTACAAAGTGAGTTCCAGGAAAGGCGCAAAACTACACAGAGAAAACCTGTCTCGTAAAACCAAAAAAAAGAAAAGAAAAGAAAGAAAGAAAGAAAGAAAGAAAGAAAGAAAGAAAGAAAGAAAGAAAGAAAGAAAGAAAGAAGTCTCTAATATCTGTTCACAAAAAGACCAAGTTCAAACATGGAGGTTATGTAACTTAGTACCACTACCTAGTGGCAGCAATGGATTGTTGCAGGGGTAGACTCAACAACTGAAAGAATCTCATGACTCAATTGACAGTTGTTTTAATACATTAGACATAACAGAATCTTTACCAAACATTTGGTTTTACCTCTCATTGGTAAATTACCCTCAGGCTATTTCCATTTTCTTAACATTTACTTTTATTTATGTGTGTGTGCTAAGTGTGTGCAGTGCCCACAGAGGCCATAAGAGAATATCCATTCACTCTAGCTGGAGTTACAGGCCCTTGTGAACCACTGGATATGGGTACTGGGAACCAAACTCTGGTCCTCTGAAAGAGCAGCAAGCACTCTTTCTTAACTGCTGAACCATCTCTACAGCCCCTATGTCCATTTCTCTTGACCATAGCATTCCATAGATCTGTTCTTCACTTCAGGTTATGAATCAGAATGTGTCTCACATTCACAAGTCGGTCTCCAAGACGAGATGTAAGCACTGTGTGATGTGTGTGCAGTGTGACTTCAGTTATGGGACCTACAATAGGAACCACAGCATTGACTGTTAAATTTGGACCCCTAATTACTGCTTTCTGTGTCCTCAGAAATGGTTAATTTGATGTAAAAATCGGGTTTCTGTTTGTGCAGCAGACAGCCTGTCACCCACCTGTCAGTGCAGTTACCGGCAGGAAAAACCACCCAGTCTCTTCAAATAGATCAGAGAATGCTCTGGAGTGGGCCTGACAAATTGATCCATCAAGTCCTATAAGTTAGGCAATAAACACATGCCTGTCTAAGCTTCCAGCTAACTTTTTTTTTGAAAAGCTATTCAACTTCCAGAAATATGAAGACGTGGAGGGAGAAACCTGTGTGTTTATCCAAATCAGAAATGCTCACAAAACACTAATATTCTGCAGTAGGTCTTGAGGTTATAGTGTTGACTGGAGTGAGGGGGGTAAGAGTCCTGGGGACTGAATCCAGGTCCTCCTATCTGTAGGGGAAGTGCTCTGCCACTAACTGTTCTCCTTCCCCATCCCTATCCTGTTGATTTTAATGGAATAAAGTTCAGATAGGCCTGGTATCTGACGCCTGTTGTCTCAGCACTCAGGAGCCCTAAAAACATTCATATGAATAACATTGTATGAACTGAACAGGTTATATTGAGGAACACATATGTATATACATATATGTGTATGCAATAACAATTAGTGATCAAAAGAGGTCATGAATTTGAAAGAGGGGAGGGGTCTATGGGAAGGTTTGGAGGGAGGGAAGGGAAGGGAGAAGTGTTGTAATTAAATTATAATCTCAAAAATAAAAAATAAAGAGTTCTGTGCTAACCTTGGCTGTATGGTAAGTTCAGGACTAGCCTGAACTATATGAGGCCTTGTTCAGAAAGGGAGGAAGTAGGTAAAGAGAAAGAAAGAAGGAAGAAAGGGAGAAAGAGAGGGAGGGAAGGACAGAAAGAAGGAGGGAGGGGAGCAGAAGGGAAAAGAAGGGAGAGGAGCAGAGAGAAGGCTTGAGTTCACATACACAAACACACAGCCACACTGCCGTGGTGTTCTGCAGTTGCTGATGAACTGAAGGGCGCCAGGAGAGAACCAGTGATGGTCCAGCGTGCACTGAAGCATTGCTTGTGCCCTTCACATGGGGACAGCTGGGTGCTATCAGAGTATTCCCTTAAGTGTGCACCTCTGATGTGCCAAGTCTCTCCCCACTCCAAGGTGTAATTACATCAATAGGGCACCTGGCAAGTAGCCTCATAATATCAAGAAACTCCAATTTTTGGTTGACTTTGAGCCACTTATTAGAAGAGGAGTTCGCCCTCCGATCAGCATCCATGTTCTGACCCTGCTTTTAGCATTAAGTTCCCCTCTCACGACACAATCATCTCCATAACAATGTGTCTTCTGACTCCACCATTTATCATTTTCTTTTTTCTTTTTATTGTCTGTGTGTGTGTGTGTGTGTGTGTGTGTGTGTGTGTGTGTGTGTGTGTGTGTGTGTTGTATACATTTGCCTTAGCATGTGTGGAGGTCAGAAGACAAGCTTTCTTCCTTTTTTTAAAAATTTTACCCTGGTGTGATCAGGCAGCCAGGGAATTGAACCTGGTTCCGCTGAAACATCAGTCAGTGCTCTTAACCACTGAGCCATCTCTCTCTCCTCTCAGAGGACAAGCTTTCATTAGTCGGTTCTCTCCTTCCACCTTGTTTTCAAGACACTCTGTCTCCTTTCTACTTTGCTCTGGACTCCAGGCTAGCTGACTGGAGCGCTTCCAGGAGAGTCTCCTGTCTCCACTTCTCCTCTTGCCAAGGAAGATCACAGGTGCACACCACCACATCTGGTTTCTAGGTGAGTTCTGGGGATGGGGTTCGGACTGTCCAGCTTGCATGGCAAGCACTTTTACCTACTAAGCCTCTCACTGGCTGCCGCATCTTGATTTTCTATGACTTTTATTGATTTCTGCTATTTCTGTCTTCCGTCTCTCCTTTCTCGCCCCCTCCTCTTTAGCTTCCCTCTTTTCTTGCCTCCTTGCCCTGCTCTTTAGTGATGAAGATGGAAGGATTTTTTGTTGTTGTTGTTGTTATTTTTTTTTCTCCTCATGATCAGAATCTCTCTTTTTTCAGATCAGGACTAGAAGGAGGAAATGGAACTTAAAAGTCATCTTGGCTTTTGTCACCACCTGGAATTTCATGCTCTCCAGGTCAGGTCCCTTGCACCTCAAACCAGCAGTCTCCGATTGGCGTTCCTCCAGAGAACACGGTCAGAGACCAGCCTCCATGCACTTTGCTTGTGTGCGTCTTAAAGTTGAGGAGAAAGTTCTGACCCTCTGGTTGGGGAAAGTGAGCCAGTTACACACTTAGTGTGCCTGGGGGCCGGGTTAGAGTCCTGCCTCTGCTGGTGACTGGCTTTACAATAGCAGGCTGTCACCGCGTCTGTCCATTCATGAAATGGAACTTCTCAAAGAAGCTACTGTTAGCACTGATCAAGGCCCTGATTGCTAAAGCACCTGCACGTAACAGTGACTTACTGAGTGTTTGTAGTCAGAGTCTAACAAAAGGGAAGCCCTTCAAGAGTGGGGAAGCAGCGGAAGGAAAACGTGGGATGTGATGGGAGCTTGTACAAGAGCCTGTGTTTTGCATTTGCCAAAGTGGCCACAGATTCTTCCCTTCCCGTCAAGAGACAACTGTGTCCTCACCCTTTGAGGCTAGTTGGCTGTGTGCTTTCCTTGGCTTATGGACCACCAGCAAATGTGATGCAGGTAAAGGATGAAAAGTAAGGTTTACCTGTTCTTGATGCCTTTGGGGGCGAGTTAGCTGCCACTATGGGGAGAATCTCCGGCTAGCCTGGTGAGTAGTGAGAGAAACATGGCCCAGACACCCTTGTCTCCCCAGCCATCACCTGGCTGTCACTGCCACTGGATTACAAATGTATAAGCACCATGCTATTGCTGCATAATCAATTACCTCTAAAACAGATTTAAAAAACTGTCTTCCTCACGGCTTCCCTGGGAGCAATTTAGCTACATGCTTCAGGGCCAAGATACCACAAGGCTACAGGTAAGTTGCCAAATTGGAGCTAGTATAGTTGCTTCCAGTTGCTCTTCATTGTCAGGCCTAGATGCCCCACCGGAGGGGTTGGTGCCAAGGTCTTTGATGCCCCAACATGGTCTACCCATAGGACTGCCCACTTCATGGAAGCTAGCTTCCTCCCAAGTAAGTGATAAGGGTGGGAAGTACTCAACACACAAGGAACAGTCTTTCCTAACCCAACCTCAGAAGTGATATACCATCACTCCAACTGTTTACTCTGATCACAGAGACCAAACACGATACGGAGTAAGACCACATATGGATGTGTGAATGCTGTAAACAGAGGTCACAAAGAATAATCTTAAGCCTGGTTTAGATTGTATACATGGCCACAATGTATTAGCTTGACTGAGAATGTCAGAAGAACCAGCTGGCTGAGTCCAGTTCTAGTCACCAACCCAAAGCTTATAAATGGTAGCATCGCCACTATGTTTGGAGTAGTCAGTTAAGGCCTTAGATAACTGATGCAGATAGCATACGCTCCAGCATCATCTCCTCTTCTCCCACTCACTAACCTGGTCATCCGCAATGTGGACCAGAGCCCGAGCAGAGTGTCGCTACAGAGACAGCAGGTGGCTTGAGTCTCACGAAAAATGAAGATGAGCCAGGTCCCTTTCTGCCAGCTGCTTCCTAGAGAGAGGTCCTACCTCTCTTCTACCCAGCTCTCCCCCTTCTCTGGAACCACCTCTTTCTCTGAGACTGGGTGTAAAGGAGCCTGGGCTGGAAAGAGCAGGAAAAAAAAACAGAATAATACATGTCATACCTGCCCCAAGTGCAGCCATGGCTCAACACACATATAAGCCTGCTTCAGAATGCCCTAACCCAAAGGGTCCTCCACAGTGAGCCTCCCTGGCCCCTCATAAAACAGATGGGGAGGTATGCCCAAAGTCACACTACATACCCACACACTCTGACTTCCCACCCTAGGCTTATTTCTATGAAGTAAAGACAGAACACACTACAAGTCTGGTGACATTTCTGCACAGAAAATGTATTTCTAAATATTGTCTATCTGGGACTCAGAAACGGGCCCAGGGTAACAAGAAAGAACCAGAAACAACAGGAAGGGAAGAAGTGAGCTCACTGCCTGATTACATCTACTAGTGGCCATTGTGTGTGTGTGTGTGTGTGTGTGTGTGTGTGTGTGTGTGTGTGTGTGCGCACGCACGCGCGCGAGCATGCGAGCATGCCTTCTCCCTACTCCTTACAAACCAGGACTCCTGCCTCTTCACATAACTATGCCACACCAAAGCATCTACAGTAGCTCCCTTGTCTACAGATTAATTTCACAGTTACATAAGGTCAGCCAGAATCTCAAAAGTGTCAAATGGAAAACTTCTGCAAATAAACAATTTGTAAGTTTTAAATTGTGTGTTGCTGTGTAGTGTGATGAAACTCCATATTGCCCAGCTCTGTAGGGCTGTGAATGGGTTCTCAGTCCCTCATATCCACACTATATGAGCTATTCACCTATGACCCAGTCGCCATATTGGTTACCAGATTAACTGTTACAGTATCACAGTGCTGTGTTTACAGAGTCCTTACTTTACTTAACAGTGGCCACAGTGAACAAGGGTAGTGATGTTGGTGATTAGGATATGCCAAACATGAGCTATAAAGTGCTTCCATCAAATAAAAAGCTGAATATTCTTAGCAAGGAGGAAAAAAATCTTAAACTAAGTTTGCCCAGATCTGCAGTAAGAATGAATCTTATATCTATGAAATTGTGAAGAAGGAAAAAAGAAATATGTGAATTTAACTGTCGCATCTCAAGCAGCAAAAGGTATGACCACGGTGTGTGGCCAATGCTTACCTAAAATGGCAAAGGCATTGAGTTTGTGCATGTACAGGAAGAGACATAGTGAATCTGAGTTTCTGTGCTCTCCATAGTTAGGGCATCCATCCACTGGAGGACCTGGATTACACCCTGCCCCCATGGATGAGAGGTGAGGCTACTGACTTCCCAAGAGGCCCTATCAGTATGAATATCTGAATCCAACTCCCCAGAATGGATCTTGGCATCTCTGAGCACAAAGAAACTTTCTCCTGAGCTGCTGAGCCATACTCTGTCCATGACAAGTGGCCATTCAGTCTCTGCTTACAGGTTTCCAGTGACCAGGCATTTATTGGTTAGAAAGAGTTTTGAAAGAGACCCACCTCAGTTCAAATCTTAGCTCAGTAACAGACTGCTGTGTGACCTTTAATAAGTCATTTGACCTCTTTATACCTACAATTCCTCCTCTGAAAAACAGAAGTAATTCCTTCTGAACAGGAACTACTGTTTTACAGGTTTTTTTACAGTAAATTTGTTTTAAAAATATGTGCAATATTCATAGAAAATCATCAGTGTATGATAACTAATAAATAGAAGTAGACCAAAGCTGGATGGGCACAGAGATCCTGTCCCTTAGCTCTGCCTGCTTCCTGCCTAGACACCCTAGCCCACCAAGGCAGTCTACTGGACATCTACAGTGCCCCAGAGGTCTCTCCTACTCCCCGATTCCATGCCACGCACTTGTCCATGCTTCAGCATTTAGGCTACTATTTCGTTGGGAAGCTGGAACCTGGAACAAACCAAAGTCAGCAGATAGTAAATGTGAAATCAGGAAAGAATAGGCCATTTCAGTGAAAAAAAAAAAAAAAAAAAAAAAAAAAAGCAATACTGTGGAGCAAGGGAACTCTCCCAGCATGTAGTTCATCTTTCACAAAGCTAAATGAACTTGCAAGCAAGTTATTGAGTGTGGGACGTTGTCAGAAAGCAAAGGACAGGAACTGGAATTTCATTACACCTTCCCATTGTTGGTCAACATACAAACCCCCACAAGAGCCTTTCATTTCGGGCACTTACCCTGTGGTTTAGTTTACCAGAGCTTAAACAGCTCCAAGGCCTTCCATAGCCTTGTTGGTAAGGTCCCACATACCCCCAACAGGAAAGGCTATTGTGAAGTCAGCCCAGGCTTCAGTAACTCCTCCCTGATGTCTTACCAAGGTTCCTGTCCTACCAACCACAAGGGCCAGTTCCATTCCTTGCTGGTTTTCTAAACCCTGTCCACACCTTTGTAAACAACACCTTTAAACTTTCTCCAGGCTGGTTAAATGGCTCAGCAGTTAAGAGTACTAGCTGCCTTCTCTCTTTCAGAGAACTGGGATTTGATTCCAAACACCCATAATACAGCTCACAACCATCTAAACTCCAGTTCTAGGGTATCTGATGCCCTCCCTCTTCTGGCCTTCTCAGGCACCAGGCATATATGTTGTGCACAGCCTTACATGCAGGCTATCTTAGTTGGGATTTCTATTGCTATGAAGAGACACTATGACCATGGCAACACTTATAAAGAAAAACATTTAATTGAGGCTGGCTTACAGTTTCAGAGGTTTAATCCATTGTCATCATGGTGGGAAGCATGGCAATGTGCAGGTAGACATGGTGCTGGAGAAGGAGCTGTGAGTTCTACATCTAGATAAGCAGGTAGCAGACAGAGAACTAGCTTGAGCTTAGGAGACCTCAAAGCCTACCCCCACACACAATGACACATTTCCTTCAACAAGGCCACGCCTACTCCAAAAAGGCCACACCTCCTAATAGTGCCACTCTCTATGGGCCAAACATTCAAAAACATGAGTCTTTGGGGGCCATACCTATTCAAACCACCACACAGGGCAAAACATTATACACATAAAAGTTTTTAAAATAAAATAATAATGTTGTAGGATATTTGTACACTGTGTGAAAATGTATTGCTGTGATTGGTGTAATAAAAAGTTGAATGGCCAATAGCTAGGTAGGAGGTATTAAGTGGGATTTCCAGGGAGAGAAAGGAAGAGGAGGAGGAATCTAGGCATGTGGGAGACACCAAGAGACATGAGAGGAAACAGGAGGTACAGGATGGAAGAGAGGTAATGCCATGTGATAGGAAATAGATTAATATAAGTGGGTTAATTTAAGTTATAAGATCTAGTTAGGAACAAGCCTAAGCTATAGGCTGAGCTTTCATGATTAATAAGAAGTCTCCATGTCATTATTTGGGAGCTAGCTGGCAGGACAGAAAAAGATTTAGTACATAATAATAATAATGGGCTGGAGAGATGGCTCAGAGACTAAAAGCACTGGCTTTTCTTCCAGAGGTCCTGAGTTCAATTCCCAGCAACCACATGGTGGCTCATAATCATCTATAATGAAATCTAGTGCCCTCTTCTGGCGTGCAAGCATACATGCAGGCAGAACACTGTATACATAATAAATAAATCTTTAATAATAATAGTAATAATAAACTATTTCTCTCCATACCTAGAACAGGCCACTTTAAGGACAGAAAGTTGATCAGCAGTTACCCTGGGTGAGCAGGCTGGAGGGTGGATGGAGAACTAGCAGTTCATAGATGAGAGCTTTGGCCAAGGAAGAAGGCACAGTTTTAGGAAAGAGAGGTCATGGTGGTACACAGCCCTGCAACTGTACTCAGTACCGCTGAAGCTTAAAAACTATGATGATCTATTTAGATGTGTTTCTTTTTCTGTGCTGGAGTGCTGTGATCAGATTCAGCACCTCCGGCATGGTAAGCAAGCACTCTACCACTCAACTACATCCCTTGCCCTGCCCAAGATGGTAACTTAATGTTAAATGCTTTATAGCATTTTGCTTTTTAGTATATGTGTGGTGCACTCCTATGTATATGTGTGCACACATGTGTGTTTGTGGTGTGTGCACACATGCGTGTATGTATGTGCGTGTTCATGTGTGTGTGTGTGTGTGTGTGTGTGTGTGTGTGTGTGTGCCTACTGCAGCACATGTGTAGAGGTCATCAGGCTTGTGTAGCGAGGGCTTTTACCTGCTGAGGCAACTCAACAGAGTCCTTCTAAAACTGTCTTCTAAAATCCACCTACGTTAAGCAACCTGAGCATCCTCCAGTCCCTGCCTGCCACTGTTTCCAGGAGACTCTTCTCCAACAGGTCCCAAGTTCCTAAACCTTGGACTCAAGAAGCTAGCTGGAGATCAGGCAGGGGACCGGACCCCATGGAGACCATTCCCATTGAGCCATGAAAACTCAATCTCCTATATAATGGAAGAAATTGTTCTGTTCCCCAAGATGTGCATATTGAAACTCTAACCCTCAGTGTAAGGATATTTGGAAGGAGCCTTTGGGAGGTACCAGGATTAGTTTAGATGATGAGGTAGGGTCCCCAAGATGGAATTCATAGAAGAAGAGATGTGATGTCTTCTCCCCACCCCTTCCTTTCTTCCCTTCCCTTCCTTCTTCCTCTTTGCCCCCTTCTCACTTTCTCCCTCACCCCCTTCCTGTCTCTCTTCCCAAGATGAGGACATAGAAAAAAAAAAAAAAAAACTATCTGCAACCCTGGAAGAGAGTCCTCCCCAGAGCCCAGCCACGCAGGCAGCTGGCACTTTGATCTTTGTGAGAAAACACATTTCTGTGTGTGAGCCACCCAGCCAATGGCATTTGTTACAGTGTCACCCAGAGACTGAGGCTCTGGGACAGTGTGTTCTTTTGGAGTCACACACATACCTGGGGCAACTCAGTAAGCCTGGCTCCAGACCAGGGTCTCCTGGTCTCCGATTCACACACTGACTCCAGCCCCCCACACACCTGGGGAGTCAAGAGAGACAGCTTTACTCTGCCAGTGTCTGCATGACCTAGGGCAAGTCTGTCCACCCTCTGGGCCTCAGTTTCCCCTTTTGTACAATGAGAAAGTTAGCCAGCAGT